CCCCCGCCGACCCCCGCACGCCCGACCCCAGTCAACTCCCGCACCCCCGGCCCCCGGCCCCCGCACCCCCGACACCCGACCCCGTCGACCCCCGCCCCCGGTAAACCCGACCCCCTCCACAGGTGGCAGCCACCCCGGTAGGGGGGGGAAGGATCCCTGATTTCTGAAAAAGACAGAAATTTCCAGGGGATGTGTGGCGTCGGTGCGCACCCCCCGGTTTTTTTTTTTTTTTTTTTTTAAGGTCGGGTGTGTCGACGCCTGACCCCCGGGACCCCCGCCGGGGCCTAGGGCCCGGGGGTCGACAACCCTGAGCTTGAGGAGCTCCTGAGACTGGGTTTCATTAAACCAAGCAACTCCCCGTGGGGTGCACCCGTCCTCTTTGCTCGCAAAGCGGATGAAACTCTTCGTCTCTGCATCGACTACCGTGGTCTCAACCGCTACACGGTTAAGAACAGCTACCCCATGCCTCGTTCCGATGAGCTGTTCGACTGCCTAGCAGGCAACCACTTCTTTACGAAGATTGATCTTCGTAGCGGTTACCATCAGATCCGCGTCGCTGCAGCCAACCAGCCGAAGACCGCGTTCCGATCGCGCTTCGGCCACTATGAGTTTACGGTGATGCCATTCGGCCTCACCAACGCACCTGCTACCTTCCAGAAGGCGATGAATGACATCTTCAGGGACATCCTGGAGCAGTACGATCTCGTCTACCTCGATGATATCCTGGTCTACAGTCGTACCCTTGAGGAGCACCTCAGACACCTCCGCGACGTCCTTGACCGCTTGCGCAGACATGGCTTCTACGCCAAGCTGAGCAAGTGCCGCCTTGCCCAGCACAAAGTGGATTTCTTAGGACACTACGTGTCTGACCAGGGTCTCCATATGGACGACGCGAAGATCACTGCTATTGCGGAGTGGCCCGCTCTCACATCCGCCAAGCAGCTTCACAGCTTCCTAGGCCTGACCAGCTATTATAGTAACTTCATCCTGGGATACGCTAGGTATTCCTACGTCCTTACCTCCACCCTCCTCCGGAAGAACCCACCCTAGGCTTGGACACCCCTCCACGAGGACGCCTTCCACGCCCTCAAGAAGGCGGTGACATGCGCACCGGTTCTTCGCCTACCCGATTTTGATCGCCCTTTTATCCTTACCACAAATGCATCAGACTTTGCTGTAGGAGCAGTGCTTTCTCAAGTCTTCCACTCCTCTCCTGATTCCTCTCATCCTCATATCCCTCGCTTCCCACCACCTACCCCTACCACTGCTTCCCGACTGACGCCTACTCGTCCAACTACTGACGAACCTTTTATTGACTATTCTCCTACTATCGCCGAGGACGGCACTGTCGAGTCTCGCTCAGGTGATTGTCCGATAGCCTTCTACTCCCGTCAACTCCTGCCCACCGAGATAAACTACACTGCTGATGAACGTGAGGTTCTCGCAGTAGTTTATGCCGCTCGACACTGACGTCACTACCTGTACGGGGCACCATTCACGGTGCGCACTGACAACTCTATTGTCCAGGCTTTCCTGACGAAGTCGAAACTCACTCCTCGACTGGCTCGCTGGTGGTGCGACCTATCCGAGTTTAGTTTCACCACTGAGCACATTAAGGGTGAGGCTAATCGGGTCGCAGATGCCTTATCCCGGCGCCCTGACCACGACCAGTAGCAGATCCAACTCTCTTCCATCTCGGTCACCACCGTCCACCACTCGGTGATCGACGAGTTTCGCACTCAGTACCGCCACTGCCCCGAGTATCGCGACATCCACGCGACCCTTCGGAGTGGCAAGACCGTCCCGAACTACTCTCTCGGGGACAACGGTCTTGTGTACTGGCACGGTTCACAGGGCACCAAAGAGCCCCATATTTGCGTTCCCTCCACTGGACAACAACGTGTCCGAGCAGTAGCAGAGTTCCATGACCACGTAGCCACCGATCATATGGGCTTCCACAAGTCGTTGGCTCGTGTGAGCCGCCTGTACATCTGGCCGAAGCGCAAGGACTTTGTGAAGGACTACGTGGCAGAGTGTCCCACCTGTCAGGAGGTGAACAGTGCGAACCACCTTCCTTATGGTTTGCTCCAGCCTCTTCCTATCCCTGAGGGTCATTAGCAGTCTATCTCGATGGACTTTATCAGTCCTCTTCGACCTCCGAACTCCCGCGGTCATGATGCTATCCTGGTCGCCGTCGACCGCTTCACGAAGCGTGCACGCTTTGTTCCATGCCGCTATGCCATCAGTGCACGTGAGGTCGCCGACATCGTGTTTGATCGAGTCGTGCGTGACCACGACTTACCTCTGAGCATCATATCTGACCGTGACCCGCACTTTACCAGCCGATTCTGGTGACGGCTCCACGAGGTGTACGACACTCAGCTCCGCGTCTCCTCGTCTTACCATCCTCAGACTGATGGTTAAACCGAGGTCATGAACAAGACTCTCGGAGATATTCTCCGAAAGATCATTCGTGACGACCAGCAGTGAGATCTTCATCTTGCCCACGTGGAGATAGCCTACAACCACGCCGTCTCGACAACCACGGGGATATCGCCTTACTATTGCGACCTCGGTTATCACCCTCGTGTTCCCGCGGACTTCCTTCGACCGTCACAAATGCACCCCGACACGAGTTGTCCTGCGCTGGATGATTGGGTTGTACACATGACGTCGATCATGAAGACCGCACATGAGCACATAGCCGCTTCCCAGACTCGCATGGCAGCACGTGCGAACCGATCGAGGATGGACCATTCATTCAAAGTCGATGATGATGTGCTTATCGACGCCCGCCACTTACAGCTCGAAGCGGACACGCTTCGGAAGTTTCGGCGTCTGCCGCATCCTCCAGGCCGTTGGTTTTGATAATGCTTCTAGCCCGGTCAACTTCCTGTGAAGCTGCCCGACTACCTACGCCAGGCTCGTGTGCACGATGTCTACCATGTCTCGTTACTGCGTCCTTACCGCAGACCGCCTGAGCGTTTTCCCGGAGGACCATACGAGCGCCCTCCACCCATCATGGTGGACGGCCACGAGGAGTTCCTTGTTTCAGACATCATTGGTCGCCGAGTCACCGACGACAACCCTCCCCACGTCGAGTATCTCGTACGTTGGAAGGGTTACCCTGATGAGGAGGCTACCGGGGAGCCCCTCGAGCACTTGCAGCACGCTCGCATGTTGGTGCGTGCCTATGACCGTTCTCGTCATGCTGGGTTCACTGCTCCTCCTCAGCCCACTGACCCTCCTCCTTCTCCCCCGGCTGAGGATACCGCTGAAGTCGAGCCTGCTCCTTCTGAGGCAGACCTTCAGCAGCAGCCGAATGCTTCTGAGCGTCCGCAGCGCGCTCGTTGTTGTCCTGCTCGATACGACGATTGACTCTGACTTACCTTCCCACGTCTTTGACTTATCAGTACTCCATCCATCAGTTTTGCCACTTCAACTCGTCGACGTTGCGGCTCTTCCTCGACGACATTCTAGACTTTTCATCGTGGACGTCATCGGCAGCTTCATGGACTTCGTCACGATCAACTCTGCCTACTTCAAACGTCGCCACTCTCTTACCACTTTACCCTGTACAGTACCCTGCTTGTGTCGCATGATGGTCTCCCTTTAGCCGGGTTCCTCTGAGTTGGTCTCTCCCTTGGTATACGCATAGGCATCGGGACCGTAGCGTTGCCCTGGCTTCCCATCTTACGGATCTAGCTCCGACTTCCCTCACTTTAGGAGTCATTTGCATGATTCCCTTACCCATCATCTTTCTACCCTTTCCCGACCCTCACACCCTAGTTAGGCAGCCCCGCATGCTTCATCTAGGTGCGTCCAATATACCAGGCTCCCTTGTTCCCTTGCATGGTCGACCCTCCATAGTGGTCACCCCTTAGTCGAGCATTACTCGCCCTGATGGTCTATCTGTTAGGGTCATTGGTTCTGTTCGCTCCCAGTTCCCTACCCTCATTGAGCCTGATGACATGTGTTTCCCCTGTCACTATGTGTGGATGCCCTTAGGAGTTTTCGACCCCTAGGCTGCATTCGCCATCCTCAGAGACCATCCCACCCTTTGGTTTGCGACACACTTCTCCTGTGACATATGGTTGACTTGTTGTTGCTTTGTTCCTCTCAGATTGAGGCTACTGCCTCTGACATTTCTAGGATTTAGCTGTTCTGCTTTTGCTGTTTTTAGGACTTATACACTAGTCAGCTGTTCCCAGACTGAGGCTACTGCCTTCAACATTCTAGGATCTAGTTGTCACTACTTTCTGCTTTCCTATGACATGTATGCTAGTTAGTTGCTTCTACTTTCCTAGGACATGTATGCTAGTTAGTTGCTTTTGCTTTCACTTAGGCTGTTAGCTGTGACATTGCTATTTTGTGACATTTTTTATCCTAGGTTGCATCGCATGGACTCATCATTTTCTTTGGTAGAGTTTCGCTTCTTGGCGGAAGCGTGTTTGCATCTAGGCGATCCATCACAGGCCGAGGATCGTGTAGCGGACCTCTGGTTGGCCTGTGAGACCAGCCCCTTGGCCTGTTCTCACAGGCCTGTGTTCTATTCGGGGGCAGTCTAGTCCAGTTCAGGCCGGTACCTCTGTCGGTACCAGCCAGTCCAGTCCAGTCCCGTCAGTCCGCTGGGGTACCCCAGCAGTTGTCTGTTTTCGTCCTCATTCTACACTTGCACATTTTGGAGTACGTGCGTTGGAGTCTTGCGTGGGGAGCTGCGCTGTGCATCTTGCTCCCCCCTTCTTCCTCCATCTCCATCTCTATCACTTGTGGAGCACCACACCTGGTGGGTCCGCTACATTTGTTTTTCGGAAGAATCAGCCTGAGTGACTGCTAGGGGTGCTGTGAAAAGCAGGCACCACTAGCATTGTCGGGGAGGCTCCATCTATTGGTGGGGAGCAGCACCTGCTGGAAATCGGGTTCAGCGTCCCTGTAGAGTACAATGTAAACAACAATGTCTGAGTTGGAACCAGTGTGAACAGGAAGGGGCAGTGTGCATGAGAGGACTGGGCAGTCATTGGCCCGGTCACTGCCTGTCATGAATTTGTCAAAGCCAAAGCCAGAGCAACGAGTAACCGGAACTACTGATACAATTATGCAATTATGCAATCATAGGCTCTTCGCTGTCGATTTTCAGTCACATCTATCTATTTGTTGTCATGTGTTCAAGTTGTTGTGTGTTGTTGTGTTGTGTTGTGTTGTGTTGTGTTGTGTTGTGTCGTTTGCTGTGATATTGAGTAAACTATGTATGTGCTGTTGTGTGTGCTATTGTGTGGAGCTCAAGTGCATCATGATATATTACAATGTACAGTGTGGGGTGTGGTTGTACAATTGTGTTGTTGTGTGTGGAGAACAAAAGTATTAAACAAAAGTATTGTGTCGGTTTGTTGCCGTGTATTGTTGTTGTGCTATGCCTTTGTGTAATTTGTGTATGTGCTGTTTGATAGAAGTCAGGTGCATAGTGCTACATTGCAATGTGCAGTATAAAGTGTAGTTAAGAATATTCCTGAGCGTATTYTTATGGTGCTTTGAAGAGTGCAGATCGTTGCATTGGTAGAGTGCGCTTAGCCGCCGTTAATACACCGCGAATGAGTTTGCCTTTTGTTCAACCTTGCCGCTGTCCTGGC